AAATTTCGGACTGTACTTTGGGCGCTGCTACAAAGGTTTTTTCAGTTTGTTTGGTGCAGAATTTCAGTGTATTAGGAAACAGCCACACAGAACTTTTATCTGAGAAAATCACACTGTCCCAGTTAAGATTTCTATGCTGTAAGCACCAGTTCAACCTTTGCTCCTTTTCTTCAGGTTTCATGATCGGTGATGGAACTCCTCGACTTTTCTGCCAACCCATTGCATGCAGCTCAGTTCTAATTGTCTCCTTACAGACAGCCACAGTTCCTCTATCAATCATATCCAGCCTTAAGTTTTCTAAACTCCTTCGTTTGTTTTTAGAAACGAGAATACCAAGCCGCCTCCTGTCATCGACAGTCAATTTTCTGGGCCTACCTGCGCCTCCCTGGTGCTTCGTGTCATATCCATTTGCAATATTTTTTCAAAACACGATAAACAGTGGACAAAGGGATGCCTGTTCTACTTGAAATCACTTTAGCTGATCTGCTGTCCTTGTTATAATACTCTGAAATCAACTTTCTCTTCTCTAAATCATCCATACTGAGGATCACTGAAAATGTCGTCTGCTAGCAAGTAAACAAAGGGGGATAACTCTTCAGAAACTAAAGAAAAAGGATTAACGGAGTTGTCTCTCTTGAATGAAACCAAGCACTTGATAGCTGGTCAAGATTGTTTATACTAGAAATCCAATTAAACATATTCCTAAAATTCTCAATAATTTCTGGTCATACTATATTACGATGTACCTTATCATTGCTTCTTTTGATTTTGTTCACTTATCTGAGTATATCTTCAGTTGAAGTGCTGGAAACGTCTGGTAAAATTGCATGGAAACACTATCTGTGATATTAACAGTGGGTTAAGGCTATGCCATGTTGTGTTTAGCATCAATGTGAATTTTACTGGTAATCTAAAACTACGTACATAAACATCAGGAATCCGCTGACAATCTACCATCACTTGATTACAGTTTCATTCTGAATCTGCTAACATAAATTTAGCTGATATTGAAGCTTGTTGTTTTTGTGTTATTTTGTATTTCTTTTGAATAAACTAATATTTTATCGGATTTCATTGGATACCATGTCATCTGCTCACTGCTTGTCTCTCTGATGGATACGTTTGAGATATCCCGTTTACCAAAGCCAAAGCGGAGCTATGAAAACGCCGGAAACTTAAGCCCAAGGAGAATGTTGTGCTCAGAGAGTCCGCTGTATGGCAGGCTGGGGCAGGTTGAGACAATCATAGTTATCATTTTCAAAGCGACGCCATTAAATCACCGGGAAATGAAGGATAACGAGGAGCTCCCCTTTGGGCCAAACAAGCAAAACGAATAAACAAAACGGAAGGTAACATAGTGAAATTATCAGCGTATGCAAATGGTGACCTCTACATTAAATCTCAGATGTCAGACTTTAACCACTGTCTGTTAATACCCAGTTATCTAATTTACTATACACTTAACAGGCGAAATTAACGAGAGTAAACGAGAGGCCCATACACTGCATGAAATATATGGCCATTCAGTTTAACAATATATACTATGACACAAAATAAGGGATATTCAAATGAAAAGCTGTTGCAACTATTGCAACGATTACTGACTGTGGAAAGATAAGAGCTGGCGACGCAGTGAAGTTCAGTCATGCTAATTGCTCGTGGCCGTTTCTGACTTGACAGGCGCCGCATGTTAAAACAACAGCACACGTGAAACTGAGTTTAAAACAAGATTAGAGTAAATTCCAGTCTGTTCTTTACTGAAATGTACTTATACACACAGACACTCACTGTAGATGTGGAATGTACATAATTGGCGTGTTACCACGAAATTTATACACCTATTCTCACGAAATGTGCACCATTTGTAATTTTACGTGTCTCCCCATTAAAAACATCAACAACATTTTTACTGATTTCACCTGTTCATTTCATGATCATATTAGGGACCGTTCATAATTCGTGGCTAAAGGGTGGGGGGGGGGTGGGGGTGGGGAAATGATGATTTTAAGGGGGTCACCCATTTTGTTCTGGGCAGCTAGGAGGGGTAATCAATTTGGTACATTAAAATATGTTTAAAATTATGCTTAGAAATTATGGGAAGGGTGGGGGGTCATTCACATTGTACATGCTTCTCCATAAAAATCATCATCACCCCCCGTAGTCATAAATTAATTATCCGAAACATAGAATTTGTTAATGATCTTTTATTCATGTGTGTGACTCAGGGTAACAAGTTAGTCAAGATCACCAAATTAGATCTACAACAATTTGAGTGAATATTTCACTGTAAATATTCATCTAGTATGAACAAAACAGATTACATTTCGACATAAGGTATTGTTCCTTTCGCCCATACCCAGAACATTTCTTTATATGGTGTAATGGTTAGAATGTGTGTTTAATATGAAGTCTCCATAAAAGTGTAATCCACGTTCCCACATGCAAATGACCTAATTATTTTAAAAATTGTATGTATTTATTACATAGTATGCCTTATTTACAGTCTTATATAGGGACAATACAATATCAATCTCACAGCCACTAAATGGACCTATTCAGTAGTAATAACCAAGTGAAGGTGATGCGCTTCCTTTACACTTTAAACGTTTGGTGGGTGCTAAAGGACGTCTGTGTAATCCACGTTATGTAATCTACATGACCTCATTTCCAAAGGAGCATAACTGTGTTCGCGATGTGCACACAAAAGTTATGTACCTTTGGCACTGACCATCCACTGGTTCAAGAAGTAATATTGGCGCAGTCATCCAAGAGCCAAAAGCATATGGCATGACAGACGCTTTGTTCAGTGGTGTGATTGAAACGTGAACGATTGTCCAGTGACATTTTACAGTTCATCACACGCTACCAGGTCTACTCAGGTAAGAGACTTTTTTATGGATTTAAAGTTATGAGATGAATTCTTCTGAACAATAAATGATTATTTGCTTACAACTGGCTTATCTACGGTATCATTGTTGATATTCTACATCAAACTAAACACGTAACGTCATTACAGTTTGGATGGATTCTCACTGTTTTTCTGTACTGTCATTCTTTTCCCACAGAGGTTACTTGCCATATCTTCCTACGAACCTCTGTTCTAATACGGCCAATCGTAAAATCCCCTAGCGGCAAAAGATCGCAACACGAATTATCTCCCCTTCTTCCTATCCAATCAGAACACGTGTTACATCGACTTAGATTCAATTTGAATAACACAAGCAAATGTGGGGCCCCATCTACCGGGGACTTGTGTTGATGTTACACACAAGACGTTTAATGGCTAGCTTGTCCCGTTGTCAACGTGGGCGATGGAGACGCCACTGATCCGCCATAACATGACTGAGTTCTGTCTAGAAAACACGTTTGCGCATCGCGCAGGGGAAGAGGTTTAGTTTTCTCGAAGCATACGGAAATTACCGAGGCCTTGCGAATGATCACTTTTGAAACAACGTCGCTGATTGCACAACTAAATCTGATTGCCTCCAATCGCGAGTCTTGAACGCTCACACCATGAAAGGGCCGTATTAGAACAGAGGTTACGTAGGAAGATATGACAGGAGTAACCTCTGTTGGACTGACTGACTGACTGAGTTTAGTTTTACGCTGCTTTTAGCAATATTCCAGCAATATCACGGCGGGGGACACCAGAAATGGGCTTAACACATTGTGCCCATGTGGGGAATCGAACCCGGGTCTTCGACGTGACGAGCCAACGCTTTAACCACTAGGCTACCCCACCGCCCCTAACCTTTGTTGGAAGAGAATGCTGGACTGTCTGTACTTTGAATAATGAATGAAACGAAGAAACTGTTAATCACTTTTGTATTGTAGGAAAATGGGGTTTTGTTGGGAATAGAAGTTATTTTCTTTTCACATTATTGGGGGTTGTAATATATATATATTTAGTGAGAAGTTTTAGGTAGCAGTTTCCGGGAGTAAGTGATTTCTCCAGAGGTTGCTTGTAGTTAATAAAATTCCGCTTTTTACCTTCGTTTGGCTGTAAAATTCCGTTGGAATTATTCCTTTCCCGGACAGTTGACAGTCACGGCATGCGCTGCCATGCCGTGCTCGGATTGCCGTGGCCCGGTGTGTATTCTGTTTGCATTCCGAGTGCGGTATGGTAGAGCTGTCGTGATTGGTCGGCTGACTCCATTGCGGGCCAATGGGAGTTAGGCTACTTCTCCCGGGTCAAAGGTTAGCGCGCGGGGTATTTAAGGGCCTGTAATGCTCAGAGAAGTCGCTTGCTTCAGGACATCCTGACCGAACAGTAAGTCGGGAGGTCTTCCTCCTTTCCCTAGGTTTTATATAGTATTATTTTGCATGTAGAGTAGGAGAACATTTAGTGGGTTGGGGGAAACGATAGGATTAGAGTAGGCTTTGTATGTAGGAATTAATTAGTTAGGACTTTCTTTTTCTTTGGGTCTTATAGACTGCTAGTTGTGAGTGTGTGTCATGCTGGCTTCTATTTATTTTGTTAAGTTTGGCTTAGTTTGTTTTTATTAATTAATAAACTGTATTTATTTGGTGAAATCTGAACTTTGTTCTTATTTTGTGAAGAATCTTTTACAATGACTTGAACAACCATAGAACCTGAAATAAGGTCCATGAAAGGTTCCGCTCTCCAGGTACCAGATTAACATCTAATTAAAAATACACAACGCAAAGTCAACAACGGAGAGCGTTAAATAACAACATCGAACCTTGATATATGAACCTTACTGTCACTGGGTGACCTCCCTCAGCGGAGGCGCCTATTACAGTATCTTTTGTTTTGACTGTGTGTATACGTTAGCACCCTCCTCAAGGGTGATATGGATTTCAACGCTCGAGCCGTCAGGCGAGAGCGTTGAATCCATATCACCCGCAGAGGGGGGGTGCTAACCTACTTACACCACGTGGGCGCCGAATGGACTCGTCCATCGCTTGTTGCACGGGCGTTTCCTGACCGCCAAGGTTACGCGTACACTTGGTTTTGGGAAGAGAAATCATTGTGCAACATGAATTCAGCAGACGACGAGCTTTGTCGGGCGTCACAAGAAGCGGAGGCAAGCCTTATTTATAATGATAGCTATTTTGAATTGTTTGAAGCCTCTCAAATTATTGAAAAAGAAGTTCAAGAAGGTAAAACTGCAGAACGTTTTTATGAAGCTAATGATGGTGACATTGAGAAACGTGCGTTGGATTCTGTGCCTACTAACACCCAGCGACGGGATAAATGGGCGTACAACACGTTTACTGCCTGGGCTATCGCCGTAAATAATCGGAGGGGGGGAGGACGAAAACCGGTTACTGTTTTGGAAGATATGGGACTTGACGAGCTAGCTTATTTCATGTCAAAGTTTGTTCTGGAAGTTAGAAAAAAAGATGGCTGTGAATACCCCCCAAATTCACTCTTTCAAATAGTTATGGGTATACAATCATACATAAAGACTGTTTCTAAACGAAATGTTGAATTTCTCCAGTCTGATGTGTTCGAAGAATTCCGCCAGGTTCTTGACGGAGAGATGAAAAGACTGACACGTAAGGGGTTGGGACAAAGCGTTAAGAAAGCTGAAGCTATCAGTGCTGACGAGGAGGAGCTGCTATGGAGGAGTGGTCAACTTGGAGACCGGAACCCGCGAGTACTGGTGAACACCTTGCTTTACCTGAATGGCAAACATTTTGGACTTCGTAGTGGCCACGAACAAAGAAAGCTAAAGCACAAAAACTCACAAATATCCCTGAAGACGAGTCCTGAAGGACACGAGTACTTGTGTTACCGGGAAGATTACTCTAAAACTGTGCAAGGGGGCCTGAAGCATAGAAGAGTTACCCCTAAAGAGATCGAACATTACACAGGTAGTAATCCTGCCCGATGTCATGTTCGTCTGTTTAAGAAGTACTTATCACTGTGTCCTCCAGACGGCCATGATGACGCTTTGTATCTTCAAGCTCTTCAGTCTCCGACAGATAAGTGTTGGTAAGTGTTTCGTGAGTTTACAACTTCGGGTTTTAATGTGACAATGTCAGAGATGCATTCATATCCAAATATTCATCAAGATATTGTTAAAATAAATATTTTTGATCAGCGAAATGAAAAATATTTCATTCAAACCAGACCATTCGTTCAAACTAGTGTATACACTTCATCCTATACATGAACCTACATTTGTGTACAAGCTCTTGTTTACATGGAGACGTAACATTATATTACAGCCGTCTGATTTAAAAGCACTTTCATGTCAATGAATAGCAGATTTATTGTTAGAAATAAACATAAAATAAAAAGTATCTATTAAAAACATGCAATACACCCAATGTTCAGTATTGGATTGGCCAGAGTCTATAAATTACAAATTCTCCCATGTTTCAGGTACAGCCGACAACCACTGGGTCACAACACGCTACAGAAGATTGTCCCTGAAATGTGACACAAGGCTGGTGTAAAGAGCTACAAGACGAACCACTCACTTAGGGTTACCACGGCAACCCGACTGTACCAGGCTGGGGTTAGCGAACCATTGATAATGGAACGAACTGGACACAGGAGCGTCACAGGTGTGTATTTACTTTTGAGTAAAACAATCATTTAAGCGGAGCATGTTCGTTTGTTTAAAACTAAAGTCGTAATGTTGAGACTTACTACATACGTTACATATACTAATTTGATGCAATTTCCTTTCAAACAGGTGTGCGCAGTTACACCAGAACCAGTGAGGACCAGAAAGCCACAGTAAACGCCATACTGAATGACGAGCAACTGGGAGTGATTGGAGAGTCAACAGAGACCGTATCAAGGCCAGGCCAGGGACACACCAAGACCATCGCTGCAACCTCTAGCTCCATCGTTACGCTGGCGGCAGCACAAACCAGGCACCAGATTCTCATCGAAAACTGCGTTGTACATTTCACAATTAAATAAATTAAAATAAATGTATTTTAAAACAATCTTGTTCATGTAATTTTATTTTAGATTGGCACCTGGACGGTATCGACCCCGTATTCAGCTGCCCATACCCAGTTGTTATCCACATATCAACCTTGCACGTGCAGATAGAAGTTGTACGCAGAAAATTTTCAAATACCGATGAAAAATTACCGATGTCTTATCAATCTCGATAATTTTTCCGTGAAAGGGGAGATAAGTCAATGACAGAGGCGAAGCCGACCCTGAGTCTGACTTATCTACTTCCCCAGGTTAGACAGTCCAGCTGCCAAATAACATACCCAGTTGTTATCCACATATCAACCTCTGCAGGCGTGCAGATAGAAGGTTGATACGCAGAAAATCAACCTGCCAGAACAATGGACATAACACACCCTAGTGGTGTAAAATAGTATAGCAACATTTCACCAGTAATTTTTCTAAATTTCTATATGGTAGTGTTACTGTAACGTAGATTTCAATATTTGTATTCAAGTTGTATACTGGCCAAGTGTTGTTGTTTATCACACTATAATTATGTGGAATATATTTCTACTAACACTTAATTCTACCATGGATGCTCGAATTTGATTGGTCAATCAATATAATCAGACGGTATCGATTTGGATTGAAAATGCGTCTGATTTCACGGCGCTTCACTGCGCACGTATACAACACTGCCGCACTACTTCAGCTTGGCCACCAACATGACTAATATCAACACAACAGATCGAAGTGATGGAAATGCTGATGAAACATTTATTAAAACTTGAAAAATACAATTATACGATTTCTACTCCACAATTATTAGGGAACCTCACTATCATAATTATTACCCTCTATTATAAAAATATAAACTCAATTACAATACACAGCCCCAAACATAAACAAACAAAATCTAACATTTAAATCAGAAAACCTTGTAACAAATTAAAAATACATCCTAATCTATCCCTATTTGTGCGGCAAAACGTTCGTAAACATTTACCTACCTGGTAAATGGTATATTTGTTTCCGTTTAGAATGAGAAATTCGCAAGATAACGGTCAGGCGAAACACATATTTAGGCCACTCATACTCCATGTCCCGTTGCATCGTTCAAAATGTCAAAAATTGAACCTCGAGAATTCCGCCCTCTGCCACCTTCCCCGCAAAGCTGTCACTGCTATGTTCGTACACTTTGAAAGCTTGGCCACAATCCAGTCCCAAATGATGAGAACAATGTTCCAAGGAATCCCAAGTTAGTCGCATGTTCACTAAGCAGCAGCACTGTCACTCTTTTGTCGCATGCCCGGGGTGGAGGCAGGTACGTGAAATCATGATCGACACTCGCCGGCCATAAACATCAACAATCTTTGATGAGTTACAGGTCATAGGTCAATCTGAAAAGGATGTATTCTTCGATTCTGCAGAGTTGGGTTCGACAGTCAGTCAAGTATTTTTCACTGTCACTTCGAATTTCAACCTTTCGCAAAATGTAAACACTTGCTCGTCCGCCATTTCAAACTGTTGCGGAACTGTGTACTTCCAAGAAAATAAGTAAGTCAGACGATTCCATTATAGTGAGGCCAGGGGGGTACAGTAACGCGGCACACAAAACAATAGGCTGGTTTCGGTCGTGTGGAGTTATAATTATAAAAACCAAGCTCTTAGGTGTTATATTATTGCATTGAATAAACAGTAGTTTGTTTTCTTTGGACAGAATATTTTTTATGTTGCAATGTTAACAAAAATACGAACGGCACCTACCACTCCCTTCACAGACGAGTTCAATTCGCCTCTCGTCCCATGCCGGATTACGCTGTGTCTTCCGCAGGACGAGGAAGTTCGATATTAAATCGGTTATGGTAGAATAGAGATAAACGTATTGTTCGCGTTCGGCTTCAAATGAAATTTAGAGACTATCAATTCGGCGTAACATTCATCTAATTTCCAAACTCGGACGTTTATCTCCTAATTAAAAAGACGTATGTATGGTAAGTTTGATGATCAATTTATGCATATTAGATTACGCTGATTTCAGTAACGTAGATTACAATTCAGTAACGTAGATTACAATGACAGTCACTTTCATTACAAAGTTATGATCTGTAGCGGCTTTGTTATTGTGGTATTATTTTGGTAGATATTGCAAGACATTTAAATTACTTACTTACTACAACTAGTTCTAAACAAGGCCTTAGTATCTGTTGTCAAAAGGACCATGTCACAATTTGCTTCAAGGTATAATTGGGATTTCTGTTCTGCAGATGTTATACTGATGGTGTCACGTAGATTACAAAGTGGAATTTGGGGACCCAATCAAGACTGGCGATGTTCGTTTTAACCCTTGACATCTGACTTCCATGTTTCAGCAGTTCCAGTTATCAATAGGTGCACATTTCGTGAGAATAGATGTGAACACGTTGTGAATGAATAATCATTTTCTAAATCCATAGAATTAGGTTCCCAATTTATATTATTATAAAACTGAACATCTCCTAAATATGTAATACTATAGAGTAATTACGTCTACCTTCCAGGAGAACCACTTTCTTAAATGCCATATTGTGTATTTACTCATACATACTGCCGATCTTTACATAAGTTGCAAGTGATTGGTGTCTGGCTGTAAAGGGGAGACTTTCGCCTGCACGATAATGGCGTGTTTGCACGTAATTCCTAACGCGTTGTGAATGAATAATCCCTATACAATCATACTATTAGGTTCCCAATTTAATTCATCCCCTACATAAGTAGTACAGAATATTTTCGTCTACCTTCCAGGAGAACCAAAAGGAACGGAGAACCATTTGTACAGCGCCAGAGTGAGTGAGTTTAGTTTTATGCCGCTTTTACCAATACTCTAGCAATGTCACGGCGGTGAGTTTTCCACGCCTTGATATTGTTGAAATACTGCTAAAAGCGGCTTAAAATCATACCCACTCACTGTATCCACCACGTCTTGGTTATATGGGACATGCAGTTTCAATGTCCTAGTGATGTCCTAGTGGTGGTAGCAGCAGGGATTCGATACATTCAGCATTATTGAGGACTGCTATTCTGGTCTATCATTTTACTTAAGCATTTATACGTGACTTCAGGTTGCAGCATCAAAACATGTTTGTCATACCTCAATGACACAAGTATGCAAATTAGATAACCGGAAGTGAGATTTTTGTTTTATGTGAGACAACTGTTTGATTCGAAAGGTAAATATCAACTAAATTATACCAAAGATAAATCAAACGAGACAGAACTGTTGTTGTAACCGTTAATATTTCAGTTATTCTGCAAAACCGTTTCCAAGTGTTGTTTATAAATACTCCGAGGAACCGTTCCCTCTCACGAATGAATATGTCAGAAAGGAGTTAACAGGTTGTATATTTTGGTTCACACGGCAATCATACGATATATACCGAAGATTTCGGAAAGTTTCTTATGTTGATTTTGATGCATTTCATTCTTAAAAATGAAACATTAATGTGAAAAGTAGATTTCGTCAAGAGTGTATTTCAACATGGGAAATATCAACCTCCGTTCTGAATTAGTATTTGCCGTTGCGATAAAAAAGACTAACTTCATATTTCCCATATTAAATACAACTGAATGAATTCTCCCACACTAAAACATTGTTCAAAATCCCGGGGTGCACCTAAATACTTAGGATACACCGTCTGTACATATAACGTCTGTGACGTCAATAATAGTCTGATTGTCATATGTTGTTTATCATTTTGGATTTAAACAATAATGATATTACCCTTTTAATAGGTATAGTTATGTAAGCTTGGACAAATGGTCTCCTTCCCTTGACAAGCTATAAATGGGATTTTTCACGTGATAATTCATGTACGTGGAGGAACAGTTATATTGACGTATTGTGATATAAACATCAGTAACATATCCCAGTGTACAATCGCCATGCGGTCTACAGCATCTCGCTTTGCGGGATGAAACTCAGTATTAAAAGTGGGTTCGAATCCAGGGTTCTCCTTGATAATGACTAACAGGTGAGTGAGTACGCTTTTAGCAATATCCTAGCAATATCCCGGCGGTGGAAACCACAAATATGTTTCACACATTGTACCTGGATCAAACCACACGACCAGCCCACCACCCAAAGGTGATAAAACAGATGGTTGCAATGATGACATTGTGTGACCTGTCTGACTGCAGGAACCTTGCCGTGAGGATGTGTAACGCTGCTCCATTCTATCTACTCTTCACTTAATTAACACGAAGAACACGAAAGTGTGTCCCGTTGAAGATCTGGGTTAGAATTGGTCTCCAGCAACCCAGGCGACTAACAGCACTGGATGGTCAACCAACTACATTGGCTGACACATGTCATGCTCATGATGTTGATCACTGGGTTGTCTGGTCCAAACTATTTACAGACCGCCGGACATAGCTGGAATATTGCTAAGTGAGGCGTTAAACACACACACACACACACACACACACACACACACACACACACACACACACACACACACACACACACAGACACAAAGAAAAGTGTGT